GGGGCAAGACCAGACAATGGACGTTTGAAGATCTAAAAACAGGTCGCTGTGTCTTGAGCCCCATGCAAAGATGAGGGGTGACTTAGTGGAAACTGAAGCTGGGAGGTGGGAAGGATGAACTGAGAAGCTGGATTTTATCGTAAGGTCTGTGAGAAGCAGTTCTAGGTGGGAGAGCGTCAAGTTCTGACTTGTGCTTTAAATGGAGCCAGGGACCACAGCTTGGAGCCAGATTAGAGAGTGTAAGGGGAACTGGGAGGCCAGTTAAGAACCAGGAAGGCGGGGAGCCGAGAGACAAGCTAAGTGGATGAATTTGGGGTGCTAGGAAGGAAGAACTCTAGGCGTGTGTGGGGGTGAGGGGCCCCCAGCCATCTGCACCTGGCACAGGTCCCCTCTGCCACAAAAGAACCAGCTGGCCACTGTGGGAGGGCTGAGGGAAGGTGCAGCTCCCTCGGCTCTGGGGGGTAGTCCTGGGTCAAGGGCTCTGCTGTTCCTGTCACCTGCGTCCCAGGCTGCTCTGTACTCATGACCTAGCTTGGGCTGGACTTTGCTCCAGGTTCAGACTTGGAAGCTGCCCCCAGGCCTTGGGCAGAGACCATTTGCCTCCTTTCTGATCCCTCCCTTGCTCAGCTCCTGTGCTGAGTCCTTGGTACGTCTCAGGCCTGTTCTGAGGCCAATGAGAACCCCCAAGGTCAGTGGGTCAGGGGCTTTAGTCCTCAGGAACTGTAGCCGTGCCAGGGCCAGACTCTTTCTCCCCAGAACTGATGGGGTAGCCTCTGGAACACCACGTCTAATGAGAGCCAGGCAGCCTTCCCTGGGGGATGGGTTCGGTGTCCTTTTGGCCCCCTTGGAGCTCGAAGGAGTGGGAGGATGCTGGACACGGAAACGATGGCTGGAGAGGGGCTGATCCCAGCAGTCAGGGGAAGTGAGAGAGGGCTTCAAACACCCCAAATATTTATTGAATGATTGGATCCTGGCCCTCAGCAAATCTAAATATTTTTTCACTGGTTAATAACAGAATCCAGCGAGTCACCAACTCCCCTGGTGGGGCTGGGGGTGGAATTGGTGAGATGTGACGCCTCTCTCTTCCTTCAGGCACCATGAAGGCAGCTGAGGCAGGAAGATTTACTGACCTTTGACCTTTGGGTTTACTGACTCTGGTCCGCCCATGGCTGTGCTCTGCCTGGACAAGAGCCCTGCTGTTTGTACACTGCTGCTTCTGGAAACTGGCCTGGGACTGGGGCCTAGTCTGTTGTACTGACTTTGGCCTGAATTTTGGGGCCTCAGACATGGTGTTCCCAAGTCTGGTGAGATGGACAGGCCAGGAAAGGAAGCCACTGGGTCACCCTGAACAATATTCCATCCAACCCTGAAAGAATCTTCCAGGCTTGGAGACCCGCCTGCTGTTCCTGACTGCTGACCAGACCCCCAGAGATACCTGCCTCATACTTGGGGGATAGGGGTCTGGTCATCTGGCCCTGTTCATAGATTTAGGTGAATGAATTGGCCAGGTGCCTTTGTCTCAGGAATGTCTTATGGAACTCCAGCAAATGTGCTTTTCCTGCGGGAGTTTGTACTTCATAAGATCTCAGCTTGTCAACCCCATGGTCAGGGCGGTATGCACAATGGAGGTTGACCCCTGGATCCCTGGACCCTTGGCCACCCCGGGCCACAGCCAGGGCAGACTTCTGGGCAGAGACAGCACTAGACCCTCAGAGCTGGGTCCTGCAAACCATTGCGCTCAGCAAGCCAGGCTTGTTCTACCTGGCTTACCTTTGACCTTTTTCTGTCAGGGGATGGAGTTAGGGTGGACATGGGACACCATGCGGTGGAGGATAGTCCTGAGAAGGGACTGCCAAGTCATTCTAGGAAGGCAGTGCTCTATTTAGGATGTTCTCATCCTCTCCAGAGAGACACAACTAATAGGCTATAGAGATGCCCCTCAACCTACCGTGGGGTTATGTCCCAAGAAGCTTGTCGAAAATTTGTTAAATCCTAAGTCTAGGATGGTCCCTGTATAGATAGATATAAAAGGGAATTTATTATTGGCTCACATGACCATGGAGGCTGAGAAGTCCCCTGATATGCTGCCTGGAGTATGTCTCCAGAGCTGGAGAACCAGGAAGCCAGTGGTGTAATTCATTCCAAGTCCAGAGGCCTGAGAACTAGGGGGTGAGATAGGAGGTCTTCTGGTATAAGTCCTAGAGTTCAAAGGCCCAGGAGCCAGGAACCTCCAAGAACAAGAGAAGATGGGTGCCCAGCTCAAGGAGAGAGGAAATACACCTTTCTTATACCTTTTTGCTCTGTTCAGGGCCTCAATGAATTGGATGACACCTGCCCGTCTTGGTGAGGGCAGGTCTTCTTTACTCAGTCTACAGATTCTAATGCTAATCTCTTCTGGAAACACCCAGAAATAATGTTTACCAGCTCTCTGGGTATTCCATGGCCCAGTTTAGTTGATGCATGAAATTAACCATCACAGTAACTGAAACAGCAGTCCCTAGAAGACACGCCTCCTGTTCCAGGCTGGAAAGCGTCTGCCCCATGGGGGTGGTGTGAAGATCACCTCCCAGAAGGGAAAGGCAGGCCCTGTTTTGTGTGCACTCCCCTCACTCTCCATTTTTATTTTTATTTGTTTGTTAGAGATAAGGTCTCATTCTGTTGTCCAGGCTGGAGTGCAGTGGCATGATCATTACTCACTGCAGCCTCGAACTCCTGGACTCAAGCGAACTTCCTGAGTAGCTGGGACCACAGGCATGTGCCATCACTCCTGGTTAATTTGAAAAAATGGTTTTTTTTAAGAAACGGGATCTTGCTGTGTTGCCAAGACTGGTCTTAAACTCCTGGCCTTAAGCAATCCTCCCACCCTGGCTTCCCAAAGTGCTGGGATTACAGGCAAGAACCACTGTACCTGGCCTTTTGCTCTCCTTTATAATTCAAGGCTGAGGTCTTCATATTTGGGGTTAAAGTAATTTTTCAATTCAGTAATGTGGTTTTCCCTGTCCCACTCTTGCAGTGGTGGCTCCCTAGGGCCTGCAGGGGACACTGTTGATGTCTTCTCATCCTGAGCCATCATGGCTCCTGAGGCCCTAGGCCTGGCTGGAGCCCACAGAGAGGGCAATGGCCAGACATCCTGGTCTTCACATTCTTGAGAAAGGGGACAGGGAAGGAGCTGAACAGGGGGGTCCTTGCAGGCCCCTGCCCACCTGCCAGCTCAGGGCCCCAGGAGGAAAATGTTGGGGGACCCTATGAGGCCCCCAGGGTCTAGCCAGCACCCAGTTGGATACTTGTTCTCTGTGAGGCTGCAGGCAGGGCATTTCAAGGGCTCAGATGGAATATTGTCCAGGTCAGAGCTGAGGCTGAGGACCTACTGGGAAAAACTGGCTTCTGGCCTTTGGGGCTGTCGCCAGGGTCTTTGCAGCTTTGAGTTTGACTCTAGAAGTTTGAAAGTTTACAAATGAGTGCCCTCAGCCCTCTGTGCACAGCCCAGCACAACCTCGCTCTCTGAGCGCAAGGAGCTGCCAAGCCCACTGCCTCTCTGAGACCCCCATCTCAGGATTGCTGGGCTTTCTGTAGGCATCCCCTGGGGGCGGGAGATGCAAGTTTCCCTCCTTCTCCTCCCTATGACCTGTGGAGAAGGAAAGTAGAGGAGCTGGAGTGTCTTCATTCCTTCCTTCTTCCTCCTCCCTCCTCCCTCCTCCCTTCTTCCCAGCACCTAGTACCAAGCACTATTTTGGCCATCATCAAGGCTGTGGCTGCCTAGATGGTGGCTAGACTCACTGGACTATATCTCAGCTTCCTCCGGGCTTCTGGCTGTTCATGGGTACCCCCATGTGGACTAGCAGGGGTTTGTGGGCCCAGGGGGCCACTTCTGGTAGGCTGTATGGAATGGTTCCCATGAGACTTGAACAGCTGTGGGGGTACCCCCAGCACAAGGCTTCACCTCCCCGGTAGGTGGGGCTGGGAGGAGGAAGCATCTGTTCGGTGTCTGGTCAGCATCTGGTTGGTGGCCCAGGCCTCTGAGAAGGAACGAGGACTCGCAGATGGCTGCAGGCACTGACTCTCTGCTTTCATTGGTTCCTCTCCTGTCCTTCTTCACACATGGGGCCTGCGCCAGACCTCAGGAGGGCAGTGTGGGAGCAGGGGCATCAGGCTTGCCATCAGATGGCCCTACACAGTTGGTTTTAGAAGGTAGAGGCTGGGATGGGGCAGAGGAAGAGAAAGAGACTGTTTCCTATCTCTCCGAGTGGTGGAAGAATATTGACGTTTCCAGCTTTTAGAGACCACCTGTCCCCCTTGGTTTGTTCCTCTAGCCTCAGTTTTCCAGTCTCTTTGACCTCTGACTCTCCTGGCTCCCTCTGCTCTGATACTCCTCCCCTGGATAGCTGCAACCTTATTCCTTCATTTTGTCCAGGTCTTAACTTAGTCTCTTAACCTTCTTGGGGAGCTTTCCACGAGCACCCCCTATGTCCTGCTCCCAGCCCCATAGTGTTCTCAGGCTCCTGGCACCAGGCTCAAGCTGTTAACCTGTCCCCACTAGCCTAGGGCCTTTGCTCTGCCACCAGTGCATTGCCGAAGGTGTTGAGTCAGTGTTGGTGGGTTGACCGGGTGCTGTCAGCGTCCCTTCCTTGGTGTCCTTGGTGTGGTGGTGACTTGGTGACATGGCTTTCCTGTTCTATCTTTCACCATTACTGAGCTTAGTAAAGAAATCCTCACTCTTGCTTCGCCCAGATCTTGCTCCAGTTGTGTGAGAGGAGCCCCAGTTAACAGTTCCTTCTCTCAGGTGTGCGCCAGAAAAGCTGCCACTGCCTGTTGGGTGGCAGACAGGGACCTGGTACACCGCTCTGAGTGCCCTACACAGTTGAGAAAGTTCAGGCACTCGGGTCCATTCACGAAGCAGGATCCTGTGATTTCTGAGTTGGGCATCCTTGTCTTATTGTCCCCAAGTCGATGGGGCAGAGTGGGCATGAGCCGTGGTCACCTTGCCATTCTCTCCTTTACAGAAGAGGAGCTCCGGAAGCTTCGAGAAGAAACCAACGCGGAGATGCTGCGGCAGGAGCTGGACCGGGAGCGGCAGCGGCGGATTGAGTTGGAGCAGAAGGTGCAGGAAGTGCTGAAGGCCAGGTACCATGTCCTCAGCTTCTGGTGGGTGGATCCTGGAGCCAGGTCCCTGCTCAGAGCCCCGAGGCAGCCCTGACCCTGTGAGCGAGTGGTCTCAGCCCTTCTGGGCTCTGCTGCACCCAAAGCTTCCCAGGAGCCTTGCCCTTGGTCCTGGAGGTGATTGTGGGCCTGGCCCCAACAGCCCGGGTTTAGGTCCTGCCTGTGCCTGTAAGAGACACGTGGTCTTTGAAAAGTAGCTGTCTTCCTGTGCCTTAGGATGGTCTGGAAAATGGGCAATCTAGCGTAGGTGCTTCTGTTAGCCACCAGACCTGGGGCTAGGCAAGACTGAAGAGGGGATTGGTGCAGGGCTCACAGAGCCCCCAGAATTGCCTCATGCTCTCCGAGCCTTGGCTAGCAGGTGACCCCGTCCTGTGGATCCTGACCCAAGTGTCCCACCCAGAGGGCTGCCTGGACCTCTCAGGCCCTTCTTGGAACTCTGATCTTCCCCACCCTGTCTTGGTGCTCTCCAGGGCTCACTGCCTCACCCAACTGCAGCTACAGACCCTCTGGGCCCCCTTGTTGCCCACTCAGAGTGCTTCTCTGCCCCTTAGCCCTATGCTGGGACCCTGAATGCCCCTGCTTCCCAGAGTCTTCCTCATCCCGAAGGGATCACCCTTCTTGGGGTGACCGTGTCACTTCAGCTTCTAGAGGGGATATTTGTAGGCAATTTCTTTGTTCTTGGATGGAGGTCTGTGAGCACTCATAGCCTCCTCCTCCTTCAGCCCACCCTTTTGCCTCAGGGTGCTGCCAGCAGGAGGCAGATCATTCAGAGTGATGTTCCAAGTTACAAAACCAGTGCTCTCCCTGTCCTGATAAAACCCACGAGGCTCTGTGTCCCTCTGCACAGTGTCCAGGTTGGCACCTGGTGGGTAAGGCCTGAGAGCTCAGACCACTCACACCTGGGCACCCCCCCCCGCCACCTCTACCCCCTCAGCCTCCCCTCAGCTTCCTCCTTCAACTTTCCCCTTAGGTTCCTCCCCCAGCCTCCCCCTCTAGCTTCTCCCCTTAGCCTCTCCCTCAGCCTCACCCTCCAACCTGTCCCCTCAGTTTCACTTCTGGCCTCCAGCCCCCCGACTTCTGGCCTCATACCACCACTGACCACACCCTTGTCTACAGCCCTTCCCGACCTGAATGAATGGTCTTACCAGTATAGGGCTTGAGCTGCTGCCCTGAGTTTTCTTCTTAGGGTTTACTCCTTCCATAGCATTCCATGCACCCCTTGCTCTCCCAGAGTAGGAAGGTTAAAGGGGTCTAGACAGCACATGGCCCAGCTCTGTGCTGCACCCACACATGGACCTTGGCTGGAGCGGTCGTGCACGGGAAGGCAGAGGACCTGGTGACTGTCTGGTGCACTAGCCCAGCCTGGGGAGGCATCGGCAAGGTGGGCTGACCCTGGCCTGGGCATCGTACACCTTGATCTGGCTTAGGCCTCAGCTGCAGATAATTGTGAATCAGGAAACATTAGACTTTCTAAAAGAAATTCAGAAACGTCCCACCCCACATTTGTGTGGTCAGTCAGTTGTGTAGAACCATTTTGAAGACCCAGTAGCTGTTAGAAACACCACAGTCCTTTTTCTCATTGAAAAGGGACTTGAAACGTTCCCACTGGAAAAAAAGTCAGGTGGTGTTTATGCGGCTTTGTGCACTCCCTGTGCTTGTCCCACGTCTCAGAGGCCGTGGTGGGACCACATGCCAAATGTCCAGGCTATAATATCCTGGCACACCGCCTGCCTTCTGTCTTCCTTTTAATTTTTTAAAAAATGTATGGGTGTAGCACTGTTATGAATCAGTCTGTCTCTCATGCCCCGTTCATAGTGACAGGCGGTTCCCACATTCCACATTTGGCATGACGTGAAGGAGGTGAACTTTCTGCCACCTGGAAGCCCCACTCCCGATCCCAGCCCTCCTGTCCTGAAGGCAGCTGTAGTACATTAATATCTAAATACCTGTTTGTGTCCAGCAGGTAGTTGTGCTGGGATGAGTCACACAGCCAGTGACCATGCATTATTAGGTATAAAACAAACAGTGCCAACCGTAGCACCTGGGAAGCCCCGACTCCCCACTCGGGCTTCCCTCTCAGTGTCCATCGATGACTTAGGGGAGGTCCTGTCTGTTCAATCTTCGAGTACGCATGGTGGACACCTGGGTTTCAGCTTGGCGGGATCCATGCTTAGTACTTCCCAGTTGAGTTGCCTCTTCTGGACTCCCAGGCTCATTCAGGTAGTGCCTGTCACACCTGTCCAGGAATGGTGGGACAACCAACTTGTTCTGGAGTCTCCCACACTTCTGTTCCCAGGGAATCTTCCATTTTTTCAGTAGCTTGAGGCATGGACAGTCATTTGGGTAGCCCCAGCCTGGTTGTGGGGAGGGGTGGACGTGGAGGTCTGGCACCCTCTTCTGTGGATCCCTTCTCGGGGTTGTGCGCCACACCCAGTGCTCCAGCACCATCTGGCAGGTAGAGGTTACAGTGACAGGCCCGGAGCCTGAAGCCCAGGTTGGCTCATGGTGCTGTTGGAGTGAAATCACATGATGTGAACAGAGCAGAAACTGCCTCTCCCTCATCACCAAAGCAAGGGATCCCCCTGTTGAGGGTCTCCCAGCTCTGGAGCACCGTCTACACCTCTCCCAGTTCCCCTATTTAGGTTTGCCTGGGGTCCCTGTGGGACCAGGAGCATGGTGATCTTGGCCAGTGCAGGATAGTGAGGGCTGAGTGGGCTATGGCTCAGGAGGAGGATGTGGCTGGCCAGAGGACCAGGAAAGAGATACCACCCAAGGGACGGCATCCAGGGTTCTCGCTGGGGTCCTGCTCCCTCAGGGTGAGCTGCTGAAAGTCGCTAAAAGTCAGGAGAGGTGGACAGAAATTTCAGGAGAGGATAGAGCCCAAGAGGGCTCTGAGGCCCAATGACAACTGTGATCAGGCTGCTTGTCTAGGGAACAGGGAGCCCAGGCAGGTGGCTTATAAGGGCTGAGCTAGGAGTTGGGCACAGATAACTGACAGGCACCACCCAGCTCGTGACCCGCTTGGTGCCCAATATACATGTGTGTTGAGTGATATCCTTCCACTAGCAGGCTGGTTGGTGGTAGAAGAGTTTTCTTCCTTCCCTTCCCCCCTCCCTCCCCACTGCCTCT